TCGGAAGACTAGTGCTAAAAACCTTATTCAAATGGTTAATCAATAGCACTACCAAAAGAAATCTTCAAAAGCAAACTACTTTTAAAGAATACGTTGATAGCACCAAAATAAAAATATAAGATGATGTCAACATTGTTTAAACGTTAAGCCAACTCCAACATATCTATTTTGGAGTCTATAAGTAGACTCCTCTCTTATGTTGATACTTAAATTCCTCTATAAATCCTTTCTAAGATTGATGATATTGAAAAAAATTCAAGTTTCATATTAATTTAAAGTAAAATATACAATGTTTTAAAAATCAAACTAATTATATATTAAACTAGTTAGGATACTGTATCAATTGGTTATAGGACAAATCGGTAGGTCACTATAAAAATTGGTTATTTTACTTAGACTTTTGATTGTACCAAAGAATGAACGAGACCAAAAATTGACCAGTTCAATGGTCTTACAAAAAAATTGCCTATCACACTAGTTCTAAGTAGGTTGGTCTAGTTTTTAAAACTATAAAATTTTATATAAAGTGAAGACAACTTTCAATTTTAGAGCTAATTTTGTAAGATTGAATTAAGTCTTAATGTGCATATCTTAAAATTATATATGAGTCTTTATCATCTATTCATTAAAAGGATCACATACTATATTATTCATGCAACAAGCCCTCTACAATTACAATTATTAGTAAGAAAAAGAGATAGATACTCTTAATTTTTAAAATTATAAATAAAATAAAATAAAATTGAATGAATGATTATAGATAATTATTTAAAAAATATGAAAAATTATTTATTTTATTTTTTCTGAATAAATAAGAAGTATAACGATTCATAAAAAAAAAAAAAAATTATACACCTCATGTATCCTTTTATAATATGTATAAATATTATATTTCGTGGCGGAGTACATGGAAAATCAAAAGAAAAAACACATATTATATTGTATATATTGCTTGTAGCGATGGGTGAGAGTGGTGTAATGGATAATGCTGCATTATTATGCTAATTACTAATTATCGTATCTTTCTATTATCGTTTATCAACATCGCCTAATAATTGCTTTGAGTAATAAAATATATTATATTTCAATTCTAATGATAGTTTATATATGAGTTTTTTCAATATCTTTCACCGTGATACATATGTAATCCTATTTGAATATGATAAAAGGAAGAATCTTTTTTTTTTTTTTAATCTTAA